GGGGCCGGCACTCCCGCCCTCCCGCCGAGTGCCGTGCACCCAGCACTCCCCCCGCCAAGCGCGCTCCCCCCGCAAGCGCCCGTGCACCATGTGCCCGGGGCCAGGCCAGCCCCGGGCACATGGCGGGCGCATTGAAATGCCCCCGTGGGCGCCGTGGCGCCCGCGGGCACCGTGTTGGGGACCACAGATCTAGACTGTAAGAAGGAAATAGTGACTAGAATAGTGAAACCAAGAGTGAGTTTGAAGGTGATGGATAAGATTTGAAAAAGCAAAGCAATTAGCTTAGGAATGAAGCTGAGCATCTTGAAAATGAGCGCATTTAGCAGCATGTTGTACAGGTGTGAGACATGGGTGATAATGAAAGATTCAAAGAGAAGGATATTGGCATTCGAGAAGAGTTGTTATAGAAAGATCCTGAGAATAGGATGGATGCAGAAAGTCACCAACAAGGAATTATATAGGAAGATACAGCCTGAAAGAGAACCTACTGCAGAAGGATATACAGTGGAAGTTACAGCTATTCGGGCATATCTGCAAAATGAACAATGAGCGAAAGTTAAGACCCTGATATTCGGCATAATGGATGGTCCAAATAGGAGAGGCAGGCCCCACAGAGAATGGGTAGCTGATATAGTAGATTGGCTTAGTTTCTGTAGACTAGCACTAAGCCACTCTGCACTGGACAGTGAGGGAGGCATTGGACACCAATGGGGGTTGAACCCACGGTTGTTGATAATGATGATGAATCTTAACTTAAGTACTGGAAAAACTGCTTGAAACTATAGTAAAGAATAGAACCGACAGACACAAAAATGAACATGATTTGTTAGGAAAGAATCAACATGGTTTTCAGAAAGGGAAATCATGCCTACTAATTTACTAGACTTTTTGAAGGGGTCAACAAGCACGTGGACAAGAGGGAATGAGTGGATGAAGAGTCCTTGATTTTCAGAGAGACTTTGAAAAATTCCCTCACCAACGTAAGCTGTCATGGTTAAAGAGAGAAGGTCCTGGTTAAAAGATAGGAAACAGAGGGTAGGAATAAATGGTAAGTTTTCAGAATGGAGAGAAGTAAATAGTAGTATTCTCCCAGGGGGTCTTTACAGGGACGAGTACTATTCAACATATTAATAAATGATCCAGAAAAGGGATCAACAGAATAATGGCAAAATTTGCAGATTATACAAACTAAACAAGACTTCAGTCTTTTGGGGACGAAGATTTAGTAAGAGATCTCACAAAACTGGGTGACAGGACAACAAAATGTCAGATGAAATTCAATGTTTAGAAATGCAAAGTAATGCAGATTGGAAAACATAATCCCAACTACACATAAAATGTTTTCCAGAAGTTATGAATGGGTATGAGTATGGGATGGATCACTTCATGATCATCTGTTCTGTTCTTTCCCTTTGAAGCACCTGACATTGGCCACTATCAGAAGACAGGAGACTGAGCAAGATAAATCTTTCTTGGATCCAGTATGGCTGTGATTATGTTCATGAAATGTGCTCTTTCCTTTTTCCTTTTCTCTGTCTACTTATATGTAAGCAAGTGACCACTGCTACTTACCAGGTAAGAACTAAACATATTCTATTACACTTATCTCCCCATCTTTTTTGCCTCCATTTGTTTTAGTTTTCAGTCTTTAAAATAGGAGATGTTTGGGTAAGGGACTATCATTTATATTTTATGACTTTTCAGGATTTAATAATTTCATTTTTGGTTGTTTATTTTGAGCTATTTTTTAGTTTTATTTCGCTGTTCAAAAATTACACTGCTACACACTGTAATGAGTAATATATTTGTAATTTTTCAGGAAGGCTTTCCCTAGAATGCTACAACTCTGTTTCAGACAGCATTACATTATAAAATACTATAGAACATTTAGAACATACAAGCTGTCTATACAGACCAAATTAGTGTGCAATACACATACTAGTGAACTTTGGAAATAATCCCTGTAGCATCCACTTTACTGTTCCATGTCAACAAGCCTTTCGATACAAATAACCCTTTCCAGTGTTTTTCTGGTGTTTACTGGGTGAACACCAATTTCATTTAAAAAAATCAATGGCGTTTTATCAGAATTTAAACCAAAAAATCAGAAGCTCTGTATGCCTTGTATAGCACCTAAAACAATGGAGATACAACTTGGTTGTACCCACAGATGATACCACAATATGAATAACATTATTTGATAACAGATGTATAAAATAATAGTTTAAATTAAAAATGCTTTATTTATACTATATTTCTATTTAAATCAAATAAGTTTACTTTTAAATGTAAACCCATTTAAAATTAAGTATAAAATTATGACAACATATGTTAAGGCATAAACTTACTATATAATTTATTAAATCATTTAAATTAAATTTTCAACTATTAACGTAACATATGTTTGCTATTGCTATTGAAGTTTTAAAGAATGTTGAATCACTGAACTTGCGGAACTCACTGGCTAAGTGCCCGGAACCAACCTGCACTGAAGTGCTACATTAGCTTTTGATATCAATAGTCTCTTCTAACTGATTTTTTTTTTCATTTCTCTTTATTCAACTAGTTCAGTTAAATGAGTAATTCATCAAAAGCTGAGAGTTGAAAAAAAACACAGAAAAGTATTTTCTCCCCCTCTCCCAATCTAAGAAAAACTACATATGAGAGAAAGAGATCTACTTGTTAAAAAATGTTGTAGGACATGCTGACCAGAATATCGGCTCATTTCACTAGCTTACAGATATTTGCTTTGTTTAATAAGCCAATTAGGTTTAAATACAAACATGTTTTGATGCAGAAGAAAAGTGTCCAGCACATTTAAGGTAGTGTTATGTAACTAATAAAAGCAATTTTAAAATACTTTTTCCTTCTGTATTCTTAACTGAAATCCAATTTCCATCTGAATAGAGGTGGAAACAAATGACTAGATAATATTATCATTTAGTAAATAAGAAAACATTCTAATATAATAAATATTTGTCTAATATATGTAAAAACAAAAACTCTGCATAAATGCATAATAAGCTGTAAAATTGTTTATTCCCTGTTCAGCAAAAAGATGTACCCAGTTCAGTGTAAAGGATAGATTTAGCTGAAAATCAACAAATATTATGGGTACCAAATACTAAGAACCTACCTTTCTTTGGAAAAATAACTAAAAAAAAATGCAAAGCAAGAGTAAAAAAAAATCAGTGATTTAAATCTATCCACCCTGTTTCATCAAATCAGTCAATAGTTGGCACTAAAGACAATGTGTCTTCAGAAGAGATGGTCTGTGAAGCACTAAGCTACTAGCCCTCTCCATAGGAAAAGCAAAGCTGTTAGGGTAAATAAGCATAACATTTACGTATAAATTTAAAGTTTTCCACAAAAATTATGCTACTAGCCTTTGATTCACACTGAAACACCTTCCAGACCCTCAATCCTACTGCATTCAAACTACTATATTCTACTGGTAGCTCCTCTATAACAAACAACTAGAAAAAAACAACATAAAAACTGGAAAATAAAATAACTTTTCTACTTTTGTCTGGTTTTTTACATCAGATCTGACCGTATCTGCTCTTTGGAGTAGATGCTAAAACTGGAAATAACTTAAGTTTTACTTTTCATACAACTCAAACTCACAAGATTGCCTCTAATTAAAAATACATTAAAAGGTCACTATTTGTGAATGAAATCTAGCTAAAACAACTCACCATTATTGACATCACACTTATTAAATAGATGCTGTCGAGAACCTAACGAAAGATCAGGGCCCCATTATATTTGGCACTGTACCTTCAATACGGCAATTCAGTGGAAGGTCTCTTGAAATTTACATTTTCAGAACAATATTTAATTTAGAAAAACTGAGTTCTCATATTACAATAACAGATATTTTCTAAGATGTTATCCATATGTATTCCATTTATAGCTTTGCTCACCCACTAGTACCAGAGATCAGAACTTTTTTTTTCTTGCTATAGTCCTCTATTCATCCACACAAGCCTACAGAATCCCTCCCCCGCTCCTACTGGACAGCCTAAAAAGGGGGATGGATCAATAGCCACCAGACAAAATCCTGTAAGGATGTAAAAGAGTACATTTAGAGCTTATCTATATAAGCAATTTGTGGCAAGCTAGGGTGTGAATCTACCTAACAGTAGAATAACCAACTTGCTATGTGGACTCTATTGACAGAAAGTAGCAGTTTATTAATGAATTCTGATCTAGTTCTCTTTGAAAGGGGATTAATATATACCAGGAGGGTCCACAAGAACAGTGAGGGCATGTCTACACTACAAAATTAGAATAATAGGATTAGAAGAGACCATAAGGATTATCTAATCTAGTCCTCTGCCAAGACACAGGATTTCTTGTTTCTAAACCAGGAGTGGGCAAACTAAGGCCCACAGGCCGTCTCTGACCCATCACCAGGGTTTGTTCTACTCCACCTGCTGCTCCAGCCAGAGAGCTTACCCTGTTCTGCCCACCACTCCCTGGCTGGAACCACGGAGAGAGGGTATGGAACTGGTGGAGGCATATGGGGTGCATAATTTGTTTATGGTGAATCCATGCTAGTTGTTAGCAGTTCTCTCTTCATCCTCCAAATATTTGCAAACAATGTTTCATAACTTGCTCTAGTAGCTTCCCACGTATCAAAGTCAGGCTTACAGATCCATATGGTCCTCCTTTTAAAGATGAGCAGTACATTAATCCTTCTCCAGACTTTTGGGACCTCTCCTAGGTCAGGTCAACCTAAAGCCACTGCAGTAATTACATTGGTTCTTCATGTATGCACTATGCTCTGTTGGTGGTGCATGTCCTCACCAGGAATGCTTGCACTGATACCCTCAGCCCTATACAACAACAGGCAATGTAAGCAATGCAGTGTCTACACAGACACTACGTAAACCTACCTATATCAATTTAAGTATGGCACCGCTCATGAAGATGGAGTTACGATTTCAGAATAGTGAGTAACTTACATGGGCAGGAGAGATGTTTTAGTGTAGACATTTACAGAGTTAGGTCAACATAAGCTGCCTTATGTCAACCTAACTCTGCAGTGTAAACCAGGCTTAAGTCCGCAGCAGACTACTGCTGCACAGATTCACATCTTAGCTTGCCATGAACTAAAAAGTTTGTGTAGAGAGACCTCAAGGAATGTTACTGTAATATAAGTAACCTCTTTTTCTTCAGAGTGATTGTCTATGTCTTCTACTGATGGAGGTGAGTATTGAAGTCTTACGTAAGACTGATCCAAGTTCCACTCTACCAATGGCTTCATCTTTGAGTCACCTGTCCAATTATATAATATGTGCGGAAAGTATGAACAAAAGTCCATGTGGCTGCTGTACAATGGAGGTATTATTAAAGGAAGCCACAGAAGTATCTTACACTCTTGTAAAATGGGCCCAGTTAGTAACATTCATTGTGTTATGTAAAAGAGAGGAAATCTGCAGGAAGAAACAAATAACCAGGTACGTCCTGATTATGAATACAGACAAAGGACTGATGTGGTATGACTTGGGGTGCAAAGAGATTAACACAATTCTTTATTTAGGTGGCAAACTGTCAGCACATGGGTTGAGTTACAGAGAACTTCACTCAAAAGCGCTATAGGGATTTCTGAAATATATTTCCCATGTTCCCATTATGTTTTATCTATCTTTTCATCAGTGAACTATTATCTATATATAGTAACACTTTATTGTTTAAAAACCAATAAGGAGTCTTTTGTCACCTTAAGGGCATAAGTTTAGGTGCCAGAAGCTGAGCTTTGGTGCCATAACTGGCATCTCTTTAATATGATGCCAACAGATCCTAAGCATGAAAGACAGGCTTGTTATTAAAAAACAGGACTCAGAGTAGCACGATTTCAGTTACAGGACTTGTCACACACCTCTTAACATGACTAGAGACACGTAATTTAATTTCTCTTTGCTTCTATTTTCCATCTCTCAAATAAGGATATTTAATCTTTAAAACATATTAAAAACATTTCAAATCAGGATTGCATATAAGAACTCCAGTTATACAACAAACATGAAGGCATTTCTAATATGAGATGTATGTGTGATAATTTAGCTGAAATAGACAACTTCTTTTGTTACTTAGATTTCATGTTTAGAATGAATTTTAGCTATTTAATTAAAAAGCTATTGAAAAAGTCAATGTCTCAAATGTAAAAAGACAAATTAACAATCCATTGTGTTATCATATTTAAAATAATTTCTATAATCTGAAATATACTAGTCTGAATTTCATAATCTCTTTAAAACAGTCTCAAGATATTTTAGGCTAATAAAGAATAAAATCAATACTAACTCCACAGTGATGATGTTCTATGAAAATATATAAGAAATAAATAACTAGAGTGCAATCCAATTCTTGATTTTTTAAAGAAATGAAAACATTTTAAGAAAATAAGCATGCTTAATATTTATTCTATTTTTTTAACTCAAATTGGAACGTACAAATGAATTATGTGTCTATGCATGCACTTAAGATAGCAATCACTAAAGTAGAGGAAAGAAAAATCTCTTACATCATTCGTGTTAACATGCCAAGCCATATCACCATAGGATACCAGTTGACCATTAACGTAACACCGAATTTCACTGTTTCTCCAACGATTGTATATGTGCACAATGCTGATCATGTACCACTAAAAATAATTTGAAAAGATATTGTTATATAGCATTATTAAAAATGACAAACAGCGTATCTTGTTTGGCTTCAATCCTGCAAAGTAATATAGGAGTATAAATCTTTGCCTACCCAAAGAGCTATATTTTAAATCAGAAAGACTCAACATGAGTTTAAATGCCTGCTCATTGGAATCTTTTTGCAGAATGAGGACCAAAAATTGTTCACTGTCTAGGAGATATGCTTTTTGAAACACAATTTAACTAACTTTTATTCTACACAAAAAACATGAACAAGGAGGTTCACATACAGAAAATTAAGTTATAAAATAAATGGTTTAGATTATAAGCACTGCATGTCTAAATGCCACTGATTATTGTATTAAAACATATCGTGTTTGAATTGGCCCCACTTACCAGGTGATCCAGTTTGTTCTGTGCGACTGCCCTGTTCTCAGCCTTATTAACCACTTGTCTAATATGTGTCATCCACTAATTTTATCAACAATGATTTTATTTTCTAGAGCACTCAAAAATATTGACCACCATTGGGCCTAGAACCAATCTTTGAATAGTTTCCAGTAGAGTTCCACAATGATGATTACCCATTAACAGTTATTTTTTTATATCTGTCAGCCTAAAGGAGGAGAAATTATGGAAGTCTCAAACATCTTACTCAGCAATTCATACCTGTGAGTCCATGGTAAACAGTATACACATTTTTAAAAGATCTAAATCTGTCCTTCAAAATAAACATAAAACCAGACATCTGGAATATAATGTAAAGCTTCAACTGTTCAGTTTGGAACTCAATGCAGACACACGTAAGAGTCAATACGGCAGAATTGGCTTGTCTTGAAAGTAGCACTCCATAATATCAAATGTATTCACTAAATAAACCCTGAGACCTAGGAACTGGGTCAGAGTGGACACTTTTTGCCCAGAGTTCTAAGAACTTGGAAAGGGTTGGGGTGTTCATATTAACTGGTTTATACAGTGAGCCCTAGGATCTGGGTAAAGGTGGGTACATCTAGGGTGTGCAGTTAACATATTTGGTGGAGAATGCCTGGGCGATCTAAAGTTAATTTACTTACTAAATGGGTAAAGCATTCACTAGAAGAGAGATCAAGCTATTCTGTTATACAAAAGGGCAACTGACACTAAAGTATTTTTTGGATAAGTTACTCCTTATTTTGCAAATATTGGATTTAATTTTCCATACTGGGGGGAAAGGCAGGAGGAGCTGGAAATGGTTTAGTACTAGCTGTGAAGGAAGCAGCTTTGCACCCTTCACACTGTATGGCTACGTCTACACTGGCCCCTTTTCCGGAAGGGGCATGTAAATTTCACGAGTCGTCGTAGGGAAATCCGCGGGGGATTTAAATATCCCCCGCGGCATTTAAATAAAAATGTCCGCCGCTTTTTTCCGGCTTCTAAAAAAGCCGGAAAAGAGCGTCTAGACTGGCCCCGATCCTCCGGAAAAAGTGCCCTTTTCCGGAGGCTCTTATTCTTATTTAAATCCCCCGCGGATTTCCCTACGACGACTCGTGAAATTTACATGCCCCTTCCGGAAAAGGGGCCAGTGTAGACGTAGCCTATTAGTGCCAGCATCTAGTGTTTCAGGAACAAATATTCCATGACTGTATTAAGGGTCCCCTCTTATTTAGAATATTTTGCATATCTATCAAATGCCATTGACTGAGCTTATAGCGTTAACTATCAAGATTACTTGCTCTCTCTGATAGCTCTGTTCAGTGAATATCTTTCAATTACTACACAATGCTCTTGGCTTTCTCTTGGAGTTAAGTTTTTCTGCATATCTGTGGACATGCTAGGCTCTACCTTTTATGAGTAGAAATAGTATGCTAGAGGAATGCTTAGCACAGTATCCCAAGGCCCTCATGAAAACAAAGGTATGCAGCCAATAAGGGTTAGTCTGGTTAGCAAAAGACTTCAAATTAAAAATGTTTTAACAGGCAGAATAATTACTGTTAATATCTAAGGCTATATCTTCATTGGAGAGTTAACGCAAGTTATCTACACTTGAACTAAGTTAATTCAAGAGGATTTTGCTCAAGTGAAAATGGCCACACTGCACAAAATAGTTGCGTCCTCTCTACGTAAATAGCTCAAGTATTCACTTGAACTTCAACCCACATCTTCTGACAGGACTGCTAGTTTAAGTTTAAAGCATCACCTTAAACAGAGGTTTTGGTGTGTGGATAGAAATCAGGTTAGATGCAACAGTAACGTTTACCTTGCGTTAGCACTGTAATAAAGAAAATCCCTAAACTAAAAGGTTCCTTAAATGTTCCCCTCTTTGCCGTTGTCCAGAATATGTCCATCCAGATTAGAACTTTTTTGTAACTGAAGTCAATTTAAAGTTTACTTCCTTTTTACTGAAAGCCTTAAGTTATTTCATGATAATTCATCAAAAAACATGTTAAAGGGTTTTTCTTTTTCAGACCCAGCCTTAAAATGTGGAGTCAAACGATAAACCTGAAAATATTATAAAAGAATTAAAGCAAGTTTTATTACTGGGCATACTTCAGATCAATTACATTATATAGCCATGCAATATGGACTTTTCCAGGTTGACCCAATTTCATGGGTTCCAGTGGATCTTCACACCAGCTACTAACCTTTTGATTTACATAATAGTCAGTGGATGATTTTCTGATGAATGAGTCAGTGTCTCAACTCTAAAGATAATCTCTTAATATCCTACACAAGTAATTCCAGTGTCTCTGGTCTAATTGCATCTGTAAGTCTCTGTCATATTCCCTAAGATCATTTAAATTAGGTTATTTCTTAGACTTGGGCACAGACCAATAACCACAGTAAATGTCTACAATCCAGAACCAGTATTAATTTAATCCATTAATAGGATGCTTCTAAGGCATTCAAATGCCAAACAGAGAAGACAAAATACAAAACTGTATATTTATGAAGTAAATAATATGAGTATTGTACATTTATTGATATCAATTTTTAAATTTCAAAAACTAGTTGATAATATTGTCAAATTAACCAAAAAAAGATACACTGGGTAAAGATCATTTCCCATGTAACCTTCCCTTTTGTATTTCTGTTCAAATTGATCTATTGCCTTTTATTAACCCTGACTTTCTCTAAGAAAATGGGGGGGGGGACTTCACAGGTGAAGTGTGAACTGTCGCCCCACATCCCTACCTCCATTGCTACCAAACATCCTTCTCAAGTACAAGGTTTAAATGGAATTATTTCTGAAACTATAGAACAGTGCTTAACTGACTAGAAGGGTTACTCTTTATTAAGTCCCACTTCTTCCTCCATGTCCACATAAACTACAATGATCAGTAAGTATTCGCAGGATGTGTAAATATTCAGTTTCCGGTCATACAAAAATAAATCATTTTAATTTGTTATAATTTTCTGAATGTGTATCAAAAAAGTCTTTCAAAAGTTGTCTAAATTAGAAAATGCCTAACAAGTGTCTAATTTATTTTTTTATATATCTCTTAAAGTCATCTGAGTCGCAAAAGTTTGTCTGTTTTTTCCCTTATGCTTTAAGCATGAAATATTTCAGTCCACACTTCATAAGATAGCACTCATGGATATAGTTCAAAATTTCACAGGCAGCAGTTCTTGGTTTTTTTTTATAGACTTTTCCTTCTTGAAGAAAAAAAAATCAAATGAAAAAATGTGCTTCCCTCCCCCCAGCTGAATAGACAAGTTTGGATTGTTCCATATATCTTAATGAGAGAAGTGGTCTTTTGAATAAGGCAGGCCTGATCAGTTATGACCATTGAACATCCAATAGTGCTGCATACAAGAGCAGGGCTAATCAATGCTATGCATCTTGGACAGTTTACAACTTGTGTAATTAATTTCTATTGAATTCCCCCCTGAAGTTTAAATCTGCACATTTCTTTTTTTAAAATATTAAATTATCCTTCACTTTCTGTTCTAAACTGCTGTGCACTGTTAAATTCTTTCTCCTTTGATAAGTGGCTATATTTAAGTGGTTATTGATCATATAGTTCGTAAATAACTAAATCTTTCTGAATTAAAATAGTTACATCATTTGAAGAAGAAATATTAAATTTAAAATCAGTTACATGGTGAATGCCCTGCACATACTTGCCAATTGAAGTTTTTGATTTATTAGCCTAAAACTGATGGAACTTTAATAATTCTATTTATGGTCCACCTTTAACCATTTTTTCTCCTGAGTCTGTTGGAAGCACTCATTCTGTTAGAGTAGCAAATTACAGACATGCAATAAATTAAATAGACCAAGAACCACACGCAGACATTGTGGAGTCTAGATGTGACAATGATATTCCTTTTATGGAAAACACCATACAACGGTATGTATTAAAATGTCTTACGAGTATTTAAAAAATTGCAAACATGTTTTCTGCCCTCCCTTGCTCTGCCAAAGGTGATTTTGTTAATAAAAAAAACAAACAAAAAATAAGCATTCAGTTGATATTCATTTTGGCAAGAAAACTAAAAATATGCCAAATAAAACTAACCGCATATTGATTGTTGGAAGTTTTTTCCTCAACATTTTACATTTACAAAAATAATTCCTCAGTGAGGATTAGTGCAATTGGTTTATTTACTTGAATGAGAAAGAAATATTTCAAATAAGTTATGGGCAAGTGAAAACTCAGCACTCATTCAGTGGACATTATTTACATGCAGCAAACTAATTAGAGCCCTACTGCTCTACAATTTCACACCAGATATGTCTGCATAGCTTTGTAAATCCATGCACAGACATCTACACAACCTGAGCTGAGGTCTGCAGACATATGGGGTATAGCTAAGAAAATCTGCCTGAGAAATTATTTTTACCATGCTATCTTAAAATCAGGAATAGGATAAAGTTACAAATGCATAATAATAAAAAAAAAATCAAAACTAGTAGATCCCATAATTTGCCAAGTGTCACTGAAAATTGTCGCTTTCCATTATAGCTTCAAAAGGAAGATTTTATTTTAAAATAATCTATGTTCTAATTTGCTGTGAA